TCATTTACTGACCGTTCACGGTAGCTCAGTCGGTAGCGCGCTCGCTCCGTGATCGGGAGGTCGTGAGTTCGAATCTCGGCCGCGACAGACCTAATTCGATAAAAAATAGGTAGCAACTGTTCCTTCGCCATGCGCTCGGCACTTTGAAGTGGAAGTTGCGGGTCTTTCGGATGAGACCTTAAAAACCGAGGCCCCATGTCACGGCAGGCGTTGGCACGATAAAGATCCCTCACTGCTCAATGGCCCTGAGTGCCGAGTAAAGGTCAAAATTTGAAGCCCTTCACCGGTATATGGTGACGTCTCTATATGAGTGAAAAATTCTCGAATGGGACGTAAAACAATATACAATCAATCATACAATCATTTACTAGGTATGTAAACAGGTAAACTACCACTTACTAGATTTGCAAACATAAACCACCACTTACTTGATCAATAAACAAATAAATTATTACTAGATCAAGAATACAAATACCTCATAACGTATTTGATCAATACCAAATCAAACCACCACTTACTAAAATAGTAAATATTATAAAAGTAACTTATTAGATCAGTACACAGAGAAGTCATCAAGTACTACATGTAAATCTGTAAACAGATACACAATTGCTAACTTAATCAGTCAACAGTGAAACCATCGCTTACTCGATCAGTAAAACGAAAAACCATCATTTACTTTTTCACTTGCTTGACTTAGTAAACAGATAAAAATTTTTACTCACTAGATCATCAAACAGATAACAATTACAATTAAATGAATAATTCATGACTTATTTTATCAGTAAACAGATAAACCATCACATCCTAAACAAATGAATACATAAACCACCGCTTTTTTTTATCAGTAAACAGAAAAACCACCACATAGTGTTTCAGCAAACATATGTCATCACTTACTAACAAATATTTCATCACTTACTAGATCAGTCATAAGATAATCTAGTCATCACTTACTAGATCAGTCATAAGATAATCTAGTCATCACTTACTAGATCAGTCATAAGATAATCTAGTCATCACTTACTAGATAAGTATACAGAAAAACTTCACGTACTATTGAAGTGCATATATTAAGCACCACTTACTAGACCAGTAATCAGATAAGTTATTACTTACTAGATCAGTACGCAAATACAACAGAATTACACTTACGTGAACAGTATTTTCACTTACTTGATGAGAAAACAGATTACCAATCATTTTCTAGTTCAGTTAACAGAAAAGCTATCACTCACCAGAGAAAAGATAAGCCTACCCCTCACTTGCTAGATTAGTAAACAGAAAAGCATGAGATACATGTATACTTTGCCCCCAGAAGTCTCAGATATTTTTATCAGTATGAAATCTATTTCGAAAAGAAACCCGTTTAGTCGAAAGAAAATCCAATACTTACTAAATCAGTAAAAAGATAAGTCATCACTAACTAAATTAGTATACAGGTAAGTCATATCTTTTTTATAGGTCATTCATAAGATAAACCACCATTAATTAGATCAGTAGGCAGATAAATCATCACGATAAAGATCAGTAAATAGATAACCCATTACTTTCTTGATTAGTAAACGGACAAGTCATCACTTACTAGATACTTTCTGAATAAGTGATTACCTACACTTACTTGGTCTTTAAACAAATGAACCATCACTTATTTCAACAGTAAATTGATAATAAGAAGAACATTAGAATAAGATAAATAAAATCACTTTCTAGATCGATTAACAGCTAGATAAGTCTTCACTTATTAGACAATTAATGTATTATTAAATTAGTTATGGTTCATATTTATGGATTTTGTGAGTAATCCTCACCAACGAATTTACATCCGCCTCAAAGAACAAGGTATAGTTTCAATACAAATATGGAACTGTATTTTTCTAAAATATGAAAGTGATGAAAGAAATTAAAATTCATGTTAAAACTCCATGCACTAAGATCAATAGTTTTTCTCATTTGACTTCCTAAATGCTAATTGTGACGTCATAAACTTGTGCATTTTGGGATTTTCAAATATATAGATCACTATTATGCAACTCCAATACTAGTACTTACATAATTTTCCGTTTATGATAAATGTCGTGTGCCAAAACAGTATTGGTGTTAATGGGTGTAAATGCATGGATTTATGTCCCTAAAAATTTACAAAACTTAAACCACAAAAATTAACCAATTGGCATGAACCAATTATGATTCCACAGTAGATAAATTAGCCATTACTTATGAAAAGAAAAGTATTTACGAGTAAGTATAGAAAAACTATTTAGTAAGTTGTAGTAGAACAGTAAATTTATTAGTAAAATATGCGATTCGCTTTTTTTTTTTATCCTTGATGGAAATGAAAACAGAGCATCATGACCACGAACCCGAAGTACAATATCTATGTACAACAGGAATTACATGTACAGAGAAAATGTCAAAGTCTTCAAACATGTGCAGGAAAAGTTGTACACATACCCGCACTCCAGGTTCTCACATTTTACCAAATCTGTTTTAAAGACTGTGCTTTCATCGATAAATCTGGAGTTATTTTTAATACAATATTTACAACCTTGATTAGATATTAGGCCTATACATAAGACGTGAAAAGCAAATTAAAAAAAAAAACATATTGTCTGCTCTTACAGTAACTTGATATTTTGAACAAAGGATCATTTGAAGTATTTTTTCTTGCTATAACCCTATCAAAAAATACTATAGTTAACTATAGTTTACTATAGTTAACTAAAGTTAACTATAGTAAATCAAAGTGTCAAAGTGATCACTATAGTGTCATAGTGATCACTATAGTAAATCAAAGTTTTCAAAGTGATCACTATAGTGTCAAAGTTATCGCTATAGTAAATCAAAGTTTTCAAAGTTATCACTATAGTAAATCAAAGTTTTCACCATAGCTAATTAAAGTATTCTTAGTGAACACTATAGTAAATAAAAGTTTTCATAGTTATCACTTTAGTAAATCAAAGTGTCAAAGTTATCACTATAGTAAATCAAAGTTTTCATAGTGTCAAAGTTATCACTATAGTTAACTATAGTAAACTATAGTTAACTATAGTATTTTTTTGATAGGGTTAAGACCATTATTAACTTCAATAGAAAACAGTATGATATTTTGGAATTGTTCCGTTATCAATGATCCTCGCTTTCACGGATTTTCATATAGTATTTTTGATGAAATAGAAGATAGCGAACAGTAATCCAGCTCAAAAGTCCATTGAAATGATACGAATTTGGAGCAGAGCAAACATGGAACTCTAAAAACATCAGAGGTGGGATCAGGTGCCATGGAGGAGTAAGCGTCCCCTGTCGACTGGTCACTCCCGCCGTTTGCTCCTTGTCAAGATCGGGAAAACGGAAAAAAATGTGGACAATACTGTGTGAAAATAATTACCTAACAATTTGTATTAAAACTGTCAGTCAACATTCGACTTAATGATAGATTGAATTTGCTAACAAGGTCATTGTATCGACCATAGAATTTTTGAAATGTTAACCTTAAACGAGACTGTTGATATTTTTGTTTCATCAACTTATTTGTCAATATCTTGTTTCCTTTTAGAAATTGAGCCTTCTCTTGCTTATCGAATCAACTGGGAGACATAAACTCCATATGCAGGTGATATTGAATGCTGTAATGCTACATCGATAAGGGAAGTTGATGATAGAGAAGTTGAAGTCATCTCGTTAATCATTAAGTTTTGTTGTTAGGTTACCATTTAAAGACACTTTAGATAAAATGTATCAGGCGTTATTATAACTTTTGTCTCAACATCAGGTCACCGTTAATTGAGTGTAAAAATAAACTCTCGTAGTGTGGAAATTGAAACTCAGAATATAAATATATTTAAAAATCGAGGATACTGTACATCATACAATGGATCTCATTTTAGAAAAAAAAAAAAAAAAGGAAATTTAACGAGATTACGTTGAAAGGCATCTTATTTTCATATGTCCAGCAAATGTAGTTTTATGTATAAAAAAAATTATTAAAATCAATAATAAAATAACATAGTCAATATATTTCTGATGAGAGTCATTTCTATGGAGTATGCTGCGACAAATTCTTATTAATGCTTACGAACACTGCGTCATATTTTCCTTTCAGTCTCAAAACGAAGGGAAAAATTTGCTTGTGCGAATTGTCGCTCTCTTTTGTTTATTATATGTTATGCATTTGTACCTGTGCTAAAATTCGTTTTGTTTTTTGATCAATGACTCAAGCTCAATCAGTGTATACAGTATGATTGTCGGTATGTATCAACCTCCTAATTAACTAAATATGATGCACGATGCGAAGATAGTCAATAGTAATAACTGAGCAGCTCAACAGCTGTTTTGGCGATGTGATATGTATCATCCATGATAATACATTTATTAAAAAAGAGAACATTATTTTTATAAGACACAAGTTGAATATATTTCGACAGAATATATTTTCCTTTCCCAATGAATGCATCCAAATTCCACGCAGATTTTTTTCCGACTCCTCTCTCTCTTTCTCTCTCTCTCTCTCTCAGCAACAAACTGTCTAGTGTCATCCTCATTGTATCACGTTTTATGGGATGTTATGAGTCATACTTCTGAATATTAAATAGTTTTAGAATCATGATATTTATGTAGGCATATTGCAAAGCTTTATCATGTTATTGTATGGATTGGATCATTGAAAATTTGTTTTGTTTTTTATATACGTGTTTTAGTTTTATCTAAACTAACATCATGTTCAGTTTGAAACCACAACTTTAGGGTTTTTTTGGATTTTCTAATTGTTTGTGTGTGTGTGGGGGGGGGGGGGGCTTTGTTATTTTTATTTATTTTTTGTATATCTTTATAATATTTTGACACTTTACTTTGCACCAGATTTCATCCCAGAATTAAAACGTTCTTCGGATTATTCAAAATAATTCAGAAGAGAAAATGAGGCACGGTATATGTGTTTCATATCAATCACATTTTTTATTCAAGTCTATTCTTATACATTATTGATAAATAAATAAAGAATATTTACAAATTGATAATCCATCAATATGCAAAAATATATACTCAAACTTAACAACAACAAAGTGCTTATAGATTCTATCTTCTAAAGCACTACTAATAAGAAGCATCACACAAAACAACGCATTTTCTTCAGCCATGCAACTAAGCATACATTAAATTGAATCCACTCTTTCATAAAAGGCAAATAAGTACACCAAGTCACGTGCTACCTCAAGGCTAATATTCGTTTTCTTTAATACTGATCTGAAAAATGATGCCACACAACATTTTCTAATACGGTGGTGTGTAAGCATTTGACGGAACTTCTGCCGTAACGCATCGCTGATCTGGAGACGTGGGGAAATGGCTTCCTTTGGTAGAATTATCATCGTCTGAATCACTGTATCCTGATTCCGATTCCAAGGAATCTTTAAAGAGATCAAATCGGGCAAGCTTGGCTTGCTGCTGCTCCAGTGTCTGTTTCCGCCATTTGATTCTCCTGTTTTGGAACCAGACTTTCACCTGGGCTTCCGTCAAGTTCAAGGAGCAAGCCAAATAGTACCTGTGTTTATTGAAAAAAAAACATGAAAATTTATTCTTACTTTTTAATCTTTATAAATTCATTAGAAAGATTTTTTCTGTTGTAATATAAGAATGAAATTTTGATGCTAGTATTTTTTATGCAACAATACAAGAAAATATGCATACCTCTCTGTTCCCACCATATACTGCTGTTTCTCAAATTCCGCCTCTAATCGTTCCAGCTGCTCTGGGGTGAAGATCGTCCGCACTCTCTTCCCTTTGCCCTGCTTCCAACCCTGTTTACAATCCAATTTTTTGTCTTCTTTTTGATCTGATAAATAAAAAAGATTTATATAAAAGTAAGATCCAAATATTTCTGACTGCATATATGCATACATAACTATATTTTGTATATTTTTGAATCATAATATATACGTCTCTTATTCATTTATTTTTATTTATTTTTTTTTTTATAAATACGTCCCATATTTATTTATTTATTTATTTATTTACTTATTTATTTATTTATTCATTCATATATTTTATCTTGTGGAAGCCTAAAATATGTGCGTTCCCTTAATTTATGTCTTTTTAAAAATGATGTAACCTTAAAAAATTACATTAAGTCATTGGCTGTACGTGTACATGTACATTCATAAAATATACATGCAGGTGTTAACATATTGACTCATTGTCTTATAATTCATTCGTTGTCATTTTTTTTTCTAAATAAGCTTTTCAAATCCAAAAACTTGTCGATATTTACTTTATATTTATAAAAGGATTTTGTTAATTTTTACACCGATTTCGCAAGCTGCTTTCGATAGCTAGATTGTGTTATTTTGTAGCCGTATAAATTCATAAGCGTGAGAATTAGGAACATGTTGACACAGAGACCACGCCCCTTTTGCACCATTCTCATTTTTACCACATTTTTATTATGTTTACTTGCCATTTATCTGCCCGAGAACTGTGTGTTAAATGGAAAATCTCCCGTTCATTTATTGTACTTAATTGATTTCTCATTCTGTACGGATTGTGTAAAATAGGCGGAGAAGCAAACTTGAATTCAGAATTTTAAATAATAATGAAAAATCAAAATTGGCGTTAAATTATATGTGTTGGCTGTCGTTTTTAAACACACCTGAATAAGTTATAAACTTGGTGAGAATTTTCTCCTTATTATGTCGGGATCGTGATAATGAAATCAAACGGGATCTAAACCTTGTCAAAGGTTTAATTCGAGCTCTATAATTTTCGTCACCAAATAAAATTATTGAAAAATCCAGTATGTCTTTTCACCTTATTTTGTCAATGATTGAAGTTATTTAATCAATAATTACTCTCTGTGGCTATTTTATTAATTCTGAAAAACTAAATCCCAATTTTTATCTATACATAAAGTTTTTTTCTCCAGTAAAGTGGCATTTAAGTTATTTATTTTTGCTGAAAAGCATTGTTTAATTTCAGGAGTTTTAAAGCTTTTATTTGAACTTTTCGTGAAAAAGATAAACATTGCTCTTTCATACGTCTCTTATAGAATTTCTTTTGAAAAGAGAAGATTACGGGTCTGTGGTTTAAAGAATAAAATTAAGGGGGAGAAATGAGTAATTAGAGTGTCGTAATATAAGTAACATCTGTGTGTTGTTTGCGGTTGTCGTTAAAAAAGCCAAATGATCGTTTTATGAAAATCTGAATGAACAGGTGACTTTTCACGACCTATTTTAGAATAGTGTTATGAATTTTAATGCAATACTATGCAAAATTGCAAGGGGGTGGTGTAGACACGGAACTCTTATGAACTGATAATTATGGTTTTGGGATTCTTACTACAATACGACAAATCGTGCAACGAGAGACGAAACCCTTTTACAAATGAACTTACAATAATGATATTAAAAGTTTATTTACTTTCAGATAGACGGACCATCTCACAAATATTTCACATGAGAAAATTTCTTGAGAATTTCTTTTTCTTTTAATTCAGAATTTAAGTAAAAGGACATAAAACTGACTCGAGTAAAAATGACGAAGCTGCACAGATTTTTGCATCCGATATGAAAGTAAAAGTTTGATTTAACATTTGTGTTAGAATATATCAAAAACTATTTTATTACTGTCAGACAGAATGTGAATTTTAAGATTTTTTTTTGCAAGATCAAGATTTACACAAACGTTGCTAGATTTACAGTAGTCAAATTAACGAGGAAACAAATTATTTACAACAGCAGTTCCATACATCCCATAAATCTCTCCGACCACCGCGGTTCCCATGTTTTCTTTTTCGGATGTCATTACCTCACGTGTAAACTTAATTTTGTGGAGAAAATGGGAAATAGCAGCGAAACAAGAGAACCTGGTGGCGAAATGCCACACCTCTTGGACTATAAACACCTTTAGAGACAGTCAATATAAACTTAATTTAATCTCAAGAGTTGATTACTTAATATCATTCAAACAAAATAATTGAAGAGACGTATTTCCTTCATCGTGCTTTGACGGTTACAGATTTGACACTGTGAAGACTGACAGATACTGTAAATACAATCCGGTTCTTTTTTTCTTATGTAAAAAAATAGTCTTATGTTTATTAACGATGGAGTTAATTTCGATAACTTTAAGAGGAAAATACACATTATACTTTTATATGATCTTTATCTCAAATTTTAAGATATTCTTGTTTTAAAAAGGAATTTGAAAAGCAAAAAAAAAAAAAAAAAAAAAAAAAAATGAAAAAGCATGCTTGCACAAATTTGCAATTTATTATTATTATCATTAAAAATATTTCATTCAGAAAAGAGAGTAGAATTAGGCATAACCTATTTCAACCTTTTTCAAGATTAATTGTAGTTACTTAATATGGTAAGTAATTTTAAAACTTCATCCTTTCATGTCAAATTTTAAAGATTTTTTTCAATAACCATTCGAAAGCAAAAATTTAAAGAAATGGAAAAGCACATTTTCGAAATTATTTTTGATGTTTTTTATAAGACCTCTCAAATTTTAAAAAAGTAAAGAAAAAAATCAAAAATCCAGACGTTTTTAAAATGAAGAAGTACGGTTATACAAATTTACATTCATTTAAAAGAAAAGCAGTTAATTAATCGTATCTGGTTGTTTGTACTTGTCAGATTAAAATTTCTCTGAGAATGTTTTGTCGTCCCCGGAGAAGGCATTCAGTTGACAAGTTCAGTCCGTCTTCATTCCGACTGACGTTTGTCATTCTGACTTTTATATTACAACTTGTCATTGAATGTTTACAAATCATTTTTTATAAGAATTTCCTCTGCATAATATTCACCCCCACAGAAAGTAAGTGTCAAGATCCGCGATGCTAGAGATTGGTAATACCTTGCAAAAAGTACTCTAGTACCGTCAAAAAAAAAGACATATATTTTTACTTAATTAACGCGCCAGCAAATACTAATGTAATAAGGATCATTAATTAACTCTGATAATTTGTTATTCTGTTCATATTCTGAACAGTTCAATATTTTCATATTTCTTCCTGCATAGAAAATTACTTTAAACATTACTAATTATTAAGCTTAATACGATATAATTAAAATAATTTTAAATAAACATCATGAATAAGACCTTCCTTTCAAAGTACTTGAATTTAAGTAAATGTCTTTTTTTTAATTATCATTGTTATTATTATTATTATTATTATTATTATTATTATTGGAAAAAATATTCCAATTTTTATCTTTTCTTAAACAATTAATTAGAGTTTCAAAAAATTTGAAATCAATGCACTTACCATCATCAAATACTTCAGGGGGACTTTTCACTGATGAACGATCGCAGTTGGATTTTTCAGAAGATGCTAAATATGGATGAGAATTGGCAAAAAGTCTTTGATGGCGCCTCGAATGAATGTCAACATCTTTTCCACACTCATTGTCAAGATAACTCGGTGATTTGATCTTTCTTGAAATACTCTCTGATTTGTCTCTGTTAAGAATAGCATCGATCGTAAAAGAATCGGCTTTGGATCGAACTCCTGGATGGATCATAGGTGGAACGGTGGCGGATGGAGGGATTGCATATGTTGGATACGGTGTATGGATGAAGGCCGGGTGGATTGGTAGATCCATCGTCTTCATTCCGGCACATGTCGCAAAAGGCCAAAATCCGGGAGGAAATGGATAACCAGTTTGCGGTAAAACATTCATTTTTCTTGGTAGAATATATCCACTGGCTAAAATTCTTCGTCAAACGCAAGGATAATATTTTTTCCTCTTCCTTCCTCAGAAATTGTTTTTTTGAAACAAATTAATTATCGTGAGGAAACACAGTGCCTTTAAAGTTGAAGTAGATTGGTATCTTATGCAGAAGGATAAGATTTGATGCTTGTAAATCGAAGTTGCGACAATCTTATACCCAAATGTAAACAATTAGTTCGGGAATATTTAAACATTGTGTTTTCATGCTTTCTCTTGGTCGCTTTCTGATTGGTTGATGTCTTTACGCTTGGCGTATCAATGGCCGATCTGGCACCGGAGCGTATAATGCGAAACCATTTTAATGACCTACAGGCACTCTTAATACTTCTAAATATGTAATAGGCAAACTTCATTTTCAGGTGAAATGGGAATAATTATTCAAGGTGCTGAAACGTATGTAAATTGTGGCGAACATCAATTTTCTCACATTATTACCGCAAACAAATAAAAAGATAACACAGGCGTAAATATTTTAATATGGGAATTTTTTTATCAATAAATAAATTTGACAGGTTGATAATACAGTCGAACTTTATCAAAAAAGGACTCAATACTTTTTTTCAAATCGTATTATATCCAGTGAATTTCTATAACAACCAAAATACATTTATAAAAATTTTGTACAATTTACAAGATATAATTCATATTCTTGCTTTGAGGCCAAATTAGCAATTCAGTCAGAACTTATTTTTAGCCTTTAAGTGTTTTATAAAGCATCACTCAATATCATAAGAAATAAAATGCAAATATGCAACACTTCATTAAAATGAATGAGCAGATAATCATCTCATTAAGTATATTTGACTTCGTAAATATAAATGAAGATAAATGAGGTACGCCTGGTTATATAGCCGTACTTTTGCGGCAACTTTATATTAAAATGAGGCACCTTTAAAAAAAATATTCAGTATTTAAACAAAAATCTTGATGAAATACTATAAAGGCCGCCATCAATCTCCCCAGAATTCGTGAATTTTAAAAGTCGACGACTTCGAGGAATTTGGTGATAAATAGGATATTCATTACCTTCATTTAAGAAAAGCGAAAGCACATATATACCAAGGTGGACTTCATTAGTAGTTCATGCATTTTATGCATTTATGCAGAAAGATTTACATAATTATCTGGTAGCTATATCTTTGATATATCATAATATGAATTTATTAAACATCACGAGTACTTTTATAGTGGTATATAAAAACTGCATTTATTGCTTAAAACTCTCATTAACAAATTACGTAATATATCAATAATTTGCATTTATTGTACGTAATTTAAAAATATAAACGAGAAAAACTAAATGTCAGACTGCATCTTGTCTGGACGTGCCCTAATATGTCTCTGGTATGATTTGATTTACGCACTCGTCCTGGTGTGGGACTTAAGTATTTTACACATTTTAAGTAAAAAGGCTTAGAAAAGACCACATAGTTTTGTTACATAGTCGCTTTTAACAACTTCAAAGTTGGTTGGAATAATACAGAAAAGGAAAAACAGTATGGCAGATTTATACTCGACAAAACAAACAGATAAATATATCATTTGATGCATATACAAACAAAAATTAAGTTAGAATAAGGTTTAGAATGAGTTATTTGTGCTGTATTTGCGATGGTGAAAAATTGTTAAGACAGTTTTAATTATCACCTATACGGAGTACTTTTGGTCAATTTCACAGTGTAAACACAGAAGTCCCTTCATTTAGGCGTATAAATTGGATCAACGCGATTTCGCTGAAACGTGTCACATCTCTTAAAAACCCTGAAGAGGAAAGAAAGATCGATTTTTTTCATTGTTGTGTTATAAATAATCTGGCGCTAATTCCAATAAGCGCAATTGGCGCGTGTAATCAACCTTAAATATATTTTCTTCAGAATTATAAAGAATTCAATCTTTATTAGGCACCTTCACATTTCCGTGGAAACCCTATCGAAAGAGTGAAATTGGAAATATGGTTCTTGATACATACTTCAATGAACTAGATAGAAAGCTTCGAACATATCCTTTAATTAACTGTGTTTTAATTTTACCTTGAATGTTAAACATTCAAATTAATTGGGAATAAAAACTTACTGACATTTTATAAAATTTGCATACCGCGGTCTTGTGACCATGTATATTTCTTGCAGTTCAAATGAGCAATTCATTCTAATTACTCTTAATTTCATATTCGCACAGTCATAAATGTTAAGAAATTAGTGTTATACATTTTTATGTTTTTTAATTTTTTTATTTTAATAATTGCATTTAAAATGTGATTTCGAGGGTAGGATGCTAAATGATATTCGTATTGGAGAAGGCTGTTTGCAAAAGTGCTACTACGCTGCTTGTAAATTAGAATTTAAATTAAGGATGACTGGAGATATTTGATGTGCACGCCCGTATAACTTTTTTTTATTATTAGAGTAGTGTTCACGTTCTTAGAAATGTAAAAGAGTTCCAGTCACGTTTTGTGGTCAAAGATTCAACACTGGACAATGTAGGCGATACCATTAGCAAATTTATGGATCTTTATTAATTTTCTATCGTTAATTATTGTTGAAACATGGTTTTACGAACATAGGAATATAAAAAATGTCTTTGTATTGTCCATCCTCTGTGAACTGTAATTATTTTTTTTAAATAATTTTGCTTTCAATAAATATATATTTATATATATAAGGGTTAAGCCAGTGATATTTTAAAGATTTGTGCTTTGGTATAGAATAATGAATTACGTGAAAGGAACATATTTAAGTAATGTAAGCATCGATAGTTTATAAATCATATTTGGTATTTTGAGGCAATTTTTATTCAGTATATACATCCCAACTATAGTCTTAAATATGTCTTATATACCCATTAATAATTTCAGATCTGCTCATTTTCCAACACATATCGTAATATAATTATGTCTTTTTTACCAAGTACTTATAAGATACATGTACATGTAGACACATGTGATTTTAACGTTCCCACGAGCTGTAGGTGCTTTATCTTTCTTAAATCAAAACAGGTGGTAAACTTGGACAAAAACCTGTTGACATTTTTTCCTTTTGATCTCTCATTTTCACCCCGGTTGAATTAAATGTGTCTTGATAAAAAATCTTAAAACTTTAGTGATGCAATTTTTGAAACATGACCAGAAAAACACAATAAGCTGAACAAATTACAATGTAAATTAAGTTTTGTTTTCTTAGAAAACAGAGATTCTTAACCATGGATAGATGAAAGAGAAGCGGTGATTTTTGAAATTTTCTTATAAGGTGTGGGGTCGAAGGATTTTCTTTTAAATCAATTACGGTTTCTAATGAGTTTTTATTCATTAGTTAGTTTTTAGAATGAGTAACCACCAATTTTCCTAGCGGAGTCTAAACAATTTTGCACTTGGGACCTACAACTCGCATAATGTTGATACCAGTTATTAACACATTTCCCAAAGAAATGGACGAAAATAATATACAGCCTGTAAGTTTCACACCGATGGGAAATAGGTGTTTTGGCCCTAAGGTGTTTGTGTTTCATCTATGAATGGGGAAAATGATACTCAGCTCAATTAAAATGTTTAACAAACAAACATTTGGAACATGGCGTAATCTTTGATTATAAAACTATCAGTTAAAACCCCGCTTTGGGGGTATATACACTCGATTAGCGCCAATATCAAACGAAACTTGAGTGTTTTTATAAGAAATATTCGGAAAATGGAGTAAATTCTTATCTCAATAAATACACAATATTTTTGTTAATGAAGAGACATTCCTCTCTTCATTTCTTCTGTTATTGTGTATGACTAATTCCTTTCGTATTTTCCAGAATTTCCCGGTTAAGCAATTTCTTTAATCTTATTTCGGTTTGATATATCTCCGGGTTTACAATCTAATTGAGGAATTTGGTCAATTAATATAGAATTAATTACAAAGGTCGAACAGAACATTACAACAAACGAATATCAATTTGGCGCCAGCCTTGAAAACTTATCAAAAAGATATTTTTACTAGAAAATTTGTAATAAATCTCCTTAAAAATAAACCAATAATTTTCACTGTTTGTATACATAAAGATCCCATTAATTGTCAAAAAAAAAAGAGAGAAAGAAAGAAAAAGAATAGAAAAAATAAAGAAACTAAATAATGATAATAATAATAACCCGAAAAGAGGAATATAAAAATATATTTTAAAATATGAGTACATTGACCATCATTATTTAGAATAAAAGCATGTACGGTTACATTAAGAGTTTAAAATTTAGATCAATTAAATTAAACGTCCTCTGTACCATAAAGTTAGAATATATTTGCCTTAATTTCAAACTTTAAGCATAATACATGTATACTGTATTTTCATTAAAATAAAAATGAATTGCACACAGTTAAAAGTCATAATGCAGAAATCTATCCTTGTTGAAAAGCAGGGGGGGGAAGCTATATTTTATTCAACTTTGACTTTCTATTCAGTTAATTATGACTTTAAAGAAATAAGAATTTATTTTGAAATACACATTTTATATTGGTTGGAAATTGTTCTATATGTAATACATGTAAGAATATATATTAACTAACAAACCTAATTTGTTTACTTAATTATTGATACGACATCAATTAGCTTTTTTCATTTATATCTTTGTAATGATATTATCCAACTCTTTTTAAAGATAATTGAATTGTGTAAAAATTTGGCGATAGTTCGTGCGTGTTTGAAATGTGTGAAATTTACATGTGCTAATTAGTAAACAACCACACACATGCATATTTAGTACTTTTCCTAACTTCGTTAACACCACTTTTCCCAGACACAAACCATAAATCTAATGTTGCTACCTGTCCCGTGGTGTACTTTTTGTTAACACTCAAGTGTTGTAAATTGCTATAATTTGTTGAACAAATCTTCACCTTATTGTAATTATCATTATCAACAATTTAATCTCGAACACGATAGGGATAAAAACGTTTCATCTTATTTTAGCCTTATGTCCTACGGTAATATTTTCTTCACAGCATTAGCAAATACTTGAAAACTATTGATTCAAGAAGAAATCGTTTTCGGATAATGGACATAGATCGACTTTATCCACCTCTAATTAGATTTTCTCGCCGTCCATCTGGTAATTTAAATCTAATAAGTATGGATTTACACATAGAAAATGTTTAA